GAAGTATTCTCGGAACTGGACTGCTCAATGTGTTACCTGCTTCCTCAAATTCGATCGTTTGTTTGAACTTTAAATTGACAACATCGATCGTATAAGGCTCGGAATCATCCTTTATATGAAATTCATATATAATGAGTATAGTGGAAATTACATAATTCCAGTTATTTCAACTTTAAAGTACAAAAATTAGGTGAGAAAGTATTTTAATCAAAAATCAGGTATTGAATTAAAAATTAAATATTAAACCCACCTAACTAATCACATACAAACCCTAAATCATTTTTCTTCCATCCTATCCATTTTCTCCTCTTCACACCTCGTCTCACTCTCTCTCACTCTCACACTCTCTCTACCCTCTCCCTCAGATCGGCCTCGCCAATGAGGAGCTCCCGTCACTGGAGATACCTCTGAACGTCGCTATGAGGCCCCCCTTGATGTGAGTGTCGAGCAGTGGCGTCGCCATTACTGTGTTGTGCTGCGCCGCGCCGTCATAGTTGGCGATGTGTGCTGTTGTCCTACGCCGTCGCTACGAGAAGGTGCCACCGGGAGCACTGCGATGCCGCTGCGCGCGACGCTAGTAGCCCACTGCGAGAAGGCGCCATCGGAAGATGACGCCCCTGTAGTGGTGCCCCTGTGAGCGAACGAACTCTATAGTAGTAGCCTATTATTACAGGCTGCGAAACCTGCTACTACAAGCTGCTTTATCTGTTTGTTCACTACTACAACGGTGTCGCAAGGAAACTTCAAACTCACCGTCGCAGAAAAACCTAGGGAGTGAGAGATCGGGTGTTTTTTGGTCGCCTGCATCAGAGAAAATTTAGGAAGGGAGCTTGGGTTTTTTTGAGTGATTTTGTTCTCCTCCGATCTAACCTGATTAGCCGGAGCCGCTTAGTGGAGAAATCTGGAGGTTGTGGCGGTTGCGAGTTTAGGGTAGGGGTTTGTGATTGTGTTGTGATTTGGTGTGGTGATGTATGTGTTGTTGGATCTAGATGGTGGTGTAGTGATTTGTTGGCAGTGACTTTTTTGCTGGCAGCTGAGAGCGGTGGAGGCAGCTGAGAGCGGTGGATCTGGTTGCGAGTTTAGGATTTTTTTTTATTTGTTTTGGTGGTGACGACATTGGGATTTTTTTGCTGGATCTGGTGGTAACGGCTTTGTTGGTGGTGCTGCTGTTGTGGTGGCGCTGACGGGTTGGCGATGGATCTAGTGGCGACGACGAGTGGTGGTTGTTGGTGGCCAGAGATCTGGTGGTGATGATTTTTGTTGGCGATGTCAGTATCAATTGGCAACGGTGGTGTTGTGAAGGTGGCGAGGGTGGGATATTGTATGTGACCAACTATTTGGTTGATATGTGACCAAATTTGAAAATGTGT